GACAAAGCCATCCTCGCCACACAGTTGTCAATGTCAAGATCCCAGTAGTATCGCAGCTGCCTTTGCCATTCAAAGTTAGAACTTGAATCAACCTGAGAAAGAGGAAGGGTTAACAACTTCATTATCATGTCATCCATAGAGAAAGACTGAGTGAGTAAGCACAAATAAAGAAAAAGACCAGTGACATCTTTGTATATTGCCTACTGGGTTCCTTTTGGACATCAGATTTTCTTCTATCAAACTGAAATACTGTTTCACCACACTAAAGGTGTTGAGAGGGGAAAAAAAGCAAGACTTAACACACTACTTAAAATGATGAGTTGTGAATTCACCCCTGCTTCTTCCCTCCATTCAGTGAAGGAGAGTGGCAGCATACTGCCCTCTTTGCCCAGGAACCACTGCTGGGCAGGCTCACAGAGCACAGTACGTGAGAAGGAGGTTGGGTTTACCCTGAAGGACAAGGCCTAAAGGCCAGTGCATCTAACCGAATATATAATTAACTAGTTGAATTCACAACTCAAACAACACAAATCATTTAAGAATTAAAGAAGTCAGTGAATAACCTTATTTGAGATAATGACATTAGTCCTGTACTTGATATATTGATATATGTTAAGATCATAAAAAAGGTATGTTTTCAACACTCTTTTGAAACGATCATTTCAAGAAAGGAATCGCAGTACCTTTTCTTTGACAAGGTCAGTGACAATGTCCCTTGCATGCACGTCAATTGTAATAAGCGCTGTTATTATATTCCGATGAAGCTTTGGAAGATAGCCACGAACTAGTCCAGCTAAGGCATTCAATCTCTGCATGTTGTAACATGAAAAGGAAAAAAAGAAACAGTTCACTTGCCAGTTACCTATTACATCACAGTACTTTGCAAAACTCTACAGCTTTTTAACAGAAAACAAACTGTTCTGCACATTTCTCTGTTGACTGGGTTTAATTATATCCTCAGGGACCAGGGTGTCCCCCGTATACCTGCAATGTTTTCAGAGTCACAACAGTAAGTGGAAAGATGTTTCTTCAGAAATCTCACACTATTTAACCTAATATTACCGTTACCTTGAGGAATCAATAATTCTCACTGTGTAAGTTGTGTCATTTTCTTTAATCAGGGAAAAGGGCTGAATTGCTTCATGTAAGCAAAATAAGTAGTTTGATATTCTATTAAGGAGCCCAGGTGGAATGATCAGTAGGTGACCCTGGCCTCCTAAAGGCCCAGCACCAGAAGTTGTATCTCTGATAAAAAACAATTTCCAATTTCCATAAGGCACAAATCTGAAACACGCCATCTTCTAAAGCAATTGAGTGTTTTCACAAAGTAGAATTATTTTCCCAGGAGGAGAAGAATTGACAAAAGGTTTCAATAGGAAGAGGAGGGATGGCAGCACTAAAACAAAGAGTTGTAGTTAAGAACTTTATTTACTAAACCACTATTCTGATGAGTAAATTTAATAGCACAAACCATGTGTCTCGAAAGTCCTTCAAAATTCTGTCATTAAAACAAAATGTTTGACAGTAACTGGTGATCAGACCATATTAATAAAATATTTTTGGAGCCTGTAGATATTTTACTCAATATTGACACATACTGTACATATAGGACATATCCTCCCCCAAGTTAAACAAGAAATAATCTATAACATTGGTGTTCTTGGAGATTTAATGTAAGTACATAAACAAATGTGGATATGGTATATTGTACCTCAAAGTTCACATTTTCAAACTCGGTTAATGCTTCAAAGTGATTATGGTCATCGCCTTCTAAACAATTAGTCAGGTCCCGGCACCACATTAGTTGGGATATTGTCAGAACGACCTAAAAATAAAATATAATAACTTTGTAATACTGATACAGTTACAAACATTACTCTGACATAACACAAAACAGCTCTATTTATTATAACGTGTTTAAATTCCAGATAGAATATTAAAAAGAATACAATTATTTCTGCAAATTGCAGAATGCAATTATTCTTATATTTATTTTCCCAGTACGCAATGAATACATAATAAAAATAAAAATGGCTTGATAATAAATAATAGTAAAAGTATATAACTTTATAAGTATAGATTAAAAGGTTAATCTACAGTTCTTACATACTTGGTATTAAAGTATAAGTACAGTACTTACAGTACAGAATGAGAACTACAATACCAAACTACAAGACGTTACTTGCAAAAGACTACTGTACATGTATTTGTAAGCTAATCATTATTTTACATAATTTTACCCTCAAAAATCTACTGAAAATAAATGTTAATAAATCTGATGTAGATATTAATATATAAGCAAATATAAGTGAAATAGCTTAATAACATATTTAAAATTAATTTGTATATGAGTAGTATTGCTGCCTCAAAGCACTGGGGCCCTGGGTTAAATTCCAGACCTGGTCGGCTATCTGTATGAGATTTTTACATTCCCTCTATTTTCACATAGGCTTCCCCCTACAGTACAAAAACCTAGTGGTAGGTTAATTGGCTTCTGGTAAAACCAGCCCTGGTGTGAGTATGGGTTTGTCGGTGTCTGTGCATCTGCCCTGTGATGGACTAGCATCTCATTAAGTATGTGCCCACTGCTTGCCTCATGCCCACTGCTTGCCAGAATAGCCTCCAGCTCCCCTGCGACCCAGAATTGGAAGAGGTTAGAATATTCTTCATACTTCTGGCATACTTAACTGATTGTTCAATCAGTTCAGTACCTGTTGTTGTCTAATAAATGTTAATGGAATTCATACCTGAGATGGATGCCCAGCAACAACCCACTCAACTCTTGGTCGGTTCTGGTAATCTGCAATCGCTGCCTTGCTTAAGCGTCTCAAAGAGGAGAACATGGCCTCCTCTACTTTTCCAAGCCAGTCTTCAACATTCCCTCTTGCTTTTAGTCCTTTTCCTAAACTCACCTGGACAGAAACAAAACTGTTAGGAATCCCTATGCAGTTTATTCCTTCATTTTAAAAACTGATCAGGTAGTGTGTATGAATGTCTTTCAGGCAGCAGCCGGGAATTTGAAAAGGCTGCTCACAGGAACATAAGAAAGGATTCAAACAAGAGGAGGTAATTTAACTCATCTTGCTCATTTGGAAGGATCCCTTTCAGCCGGTTCTTGAAGTGTCATGAGAAATCCATTTCAACAACTGTTTGTGTAGCCACCCAGCATCCTTTGTTGATGGCCATTACATAACAACATCTAATATCTGACACAGTGGCATGGTACTATGACAATGCTCCTTTTCCTAGATTCTATCTGCAAGAGTTTGTCTCCATTGATTTAACATGTTCTCCCTGTGTGCACTTACAGTAGGTTCTTCATTATGGTACTCTTATTTCCTCCAGGCTTTGATAGACATGCCACAGTCCAGACAGGTTTTACAGGTCATTCGTAAATAATCATTTTCCAGACACTGGGAACAAATTCGCTTTTGACCATTTTTGCTAGGGAAGCCATATGTCCAATTGAGTAATTTAGAGATCATTTGAAAAGAAGGTACAGTAAAAGTATCTTCTCAAAAAACCTCTCAAAGACCAATTAATTACCAGTTAATTAGCGTACTAAATTGGTCAAATATGTGTATTCCAAATCTTTAGAAAATTGATGATGTTAGGGTTACGTAAAGGATCTGCTGGATTGTGGCTCTCTAGGACCATGGCTGGCCACCCCTACTATAGACTAGGAGAACCAACAGACTAACATGTCTCCTCTTTTACATTTTCTTTCAGATTAATTTCTGATCAATGGAATATCTATTTCTAATACTAATACTAAAACAAATCCATATAGATTTCTGTCTATATCAAAAAGACTGAAAATGTAATTGAATGAGACAAAATAATCATATGAAGGTAAAGTACCAGGTGTATAAATAATAAGGTAGCCTATACTGTATATGAGGGCTTAAAGAACAGGATGAAAATCATTTGCAAGAAAGTGCAATTGAAATGATTATAACTAGTAGTAGTATTTAAATATGTTCGGTTAATAACATGTAGTGTTATTATTGCTGAGAAGTACACGACAGTGATGACTGTCAAAATGTCTCTGCATTACAGATTATGAGTCAAGGCACTGTATATGAATTAATTTCCCTTTTTAATATTGTTTGTAAACTCTACTAAATTAATTATGGTGTACACCGCAGATCTCAATACCAACAGCTTCAAAGGTGATACCAAACAGAGCAACAATTAAAATTAAGAAGTTACCTTTAGTCCACGTACTATTTCTCCTTTTGAAAGTTAAAGTTGTGCTATTGCATTTACTGCATAAACAACATTGAAAAGTAGAGTAACACTGTGAATGGTGAAATACCCTTTCTCCTTCGGGAGACAGCATGGCTAGGATGTCGTTGCTGAAGACTTTCTCGTGTTCACCCTCTCCAGCAGGTGTCATCTTCCCCTCAGTGTGGGGGAGTAGTGCAAACTCCAGCTTAGAAATGGCATCAAAGCACTTCCGCAGATGAGGCTGAACAGCCTGGGGGTTACGTGTCTGAGCCAGGATCTCCAGCAGCTCATCATTGGAAAGAAAGTAAAATCTGAAACCAGCAAACACAAATTTGTTTCATTCATTAAAGGGACAAACTATTCGTAGGGACCACACAGAAGTTAACCATCAAACCTCCGTAACATAACATCACCTTATTAGCCCTATACAATTTCTTGCATTAGGAATTCATCTTTTTGCACACCCCAGCTTGCTTTCCATGAGAGACAGGCACACAGACAGGGAGAGAGAAGCTTGGGGTTAGAGCACAGGGTCAGCCATTGTACAGTGCCCCTGGAGCAGTTGGGGTTAAGGGCCTTGCTCAGGGGCCCAACAGAGTAGGATTCCTCTGCCAGCTGCAGGATTTGAACCAGCAACCTTCCAACCACAGGCACAGATCCTTAGCCACAGAGCCACCGCTCCGCCCGTAAAAAGACTCAAAATGTAGTGTACATGTAGACTTCTACAAGACAGGTAAAACAGTTTTTTTTTTTTAAATGAAACAAAATACTTGAATTGATTTTACAGATACTACAATAATCTAAACCGATCCTTTTTCATTGACAATTATAAATTGCACACTAGAAACACCTAACAATAAAGTTGAAATTAACTTCCTCATGAAAATACTTTTACAAACCTTGGAAACACAACTCTCTTTGATTCCAGGTAAGCTTCAAGGCACTTCTGAATTTGATCTAGTAAAATATTGTTGTTCTGGAAAATTTCCAAGAGGCCTAGAGATGCCAAATCATTAAAGAATACACATTAGAATGTTTCACTACATTTTTGTTTAAAAAAATTGAATATAGGTAAGAATCTAATTCTATGACATGTTCCTTGGGATAAAAATGTTTAAGAGAATGCATGTGACTCTTCTTAAAAGAGAACCTGGTCTATTACAGGCTAAACCCTTTCTTATAAATGCGGATGTTTATTTACACAGCTGTGGAAGACGCAGAGTGAAATACAGAGACTTGCTCATTTCCTTCTAACAGATGGCTGTGTGTGAAAGAGAGGCCTACTCCCTTGTTTAATGAGGACGACATTTTCACAGCTATACAATTATATGAAACAGTACTCCACAATATGGATGAGCACAGCATAATACTAAAGTATGTAAACAAGCAAACAAACGGTGGAAATAAAGTCAAATATGACATTTAATGTACAAATAAGAGCAAACGTTTGTGTCATTATCTATCAGTGAATTTCCTGTTTTGTAATCACACTGCAAACTAGTGCAAACACATTTTCCCAAAATGCACATCTCTGATTATTACAGACTTATTTTGAAAGCCTTGTTTTTTTTTTAATCTGACATTTCAAATAGAGAACCATTGTAAAGATTGTAAAGTTATTTGAAATCTAAAATGTGATTAGATATATGTAATCTGCATGAAGTTATTGTTTTGTTATTTTTACCTTATCTACCTTAATCTTAATTATATCCACTATTGTAAGTTACTTGACCTTCACCTATTTAATTATTATGGCTTTATGCAAAAATATTCAAGCATATAGGAGATGCAGAATAACACAATCTCAAGCTTGCTAGTATTAATGCAGGATTTCATCATGAAATTATTGCAGGAGTCTGTGGTTACTTCATTATTCAAGTTACAAAATACATACTGTATATAAAATCAAAACTGTAACAAATACTGTATATAACATCAAAAATGTTCCTTAACATTTAGCTACTCTTCAGTCATAAAAAAAAGGATTCAAGGGCAAACCTGGCTGAGTGGCTGATCGAAGGGCATTGGGAAGACGATTAACTTTTCTCATGATCTCCTTCCAGGATTTGTCCACTTGAAGAAACATTTTGGCTTCTGCGGGAAGCTGTCGCTGGATGTCTGGAGCACTAAAGATGCTTTCTAAATATAACCAGTTTCTCTGGCACGTTAGCCATTCTTCCTACAAACCATGCACAACACAATCACTTTGGGAAAACGTAAGAATGAATGCAGCAATTTGTTTCTTCAATTTTATAAGCTGGAAGCAAGGATATGATTTACTGTAATCTGATCAAATCTGTGTATCTAAATATTCCAGTTACATCAAATTCCTATTGTAGTGCAGAACAACAGTGTAATTTGTACAGTAATGCAATGTCATATTCCCTCAACACTTTTAATGCTTGAAAGATGTCATGGAACTTTTATGAAATTTTAGGTCAAATCTGGAAAATCCTTCTGGGAACGTTTTGCTCATCACCAGCATGATTTGCTCTTCGGTCATCTCACCAGTGTCTGACTGAACAATCCAAGCTGTCGTTGCCAGTCGTCCACTCGAGTCTTGATTGGGCCCACATATCGAGAAGAGGCAATAGTGGCTACATTTATTGTACTGTCATCAAGGAGAACCTGGAAGCACCATAAAGTACAAAATGTTATGTCACTGTTTCATTTTTAGGTCTCTTGGATGAAGAGGGTAGAAAATGGCTTCCACTTGCCTGAATATCATCTGTGCCACCAAGTATGAAGACATCTTTAGATTCCCGATGGGAAAGCACAACAAACTCTGTAGTTTTCCATGAATCTTCAACCTAAACGCTCAAAGTACAATGGATAATAAATACATAATTTGAAGTTGAAAGCATATACTGCATTAAGATACAGTAATAAGAAAGACAATCTTCCTTGAGTGGAGTATTCTACAAGAAATATAGTACAATATGAATGTGAATATGTGCTGAGAAAGAAAACGTGGAAACTTTGGAAGATTTAATAATATATAATATTATTTCTTTTAAAAATCCATAATACAATAAATCAGTTGTGAATAAATCTGTAAATATATGGAAGGTAATTTTGATCACCTAAATGAATTTTTTGTGTTTGCCACAGCAAGTGATATGAATATCTGTGCAATAGTGACTTTGAAATTTTTCTTTCATATTAAGTATGTATATACTTTTTGGATTTTGCTTTGGCTTTGAATATATGGAGTATTTTGTTTATGTAGCAAATATTAATTGTTATGTCAAAGTATCGTGACTGCAAGCTTTAAAGCCACAAAATGTGAAAACATCGCCTTTCTGAAAACTGAATATTTTGCAGGACACTGCACAGAAATCAAGGGATGCCCCAGTAACATACAAGCCTTTCTCACCTTTTTCAGAATGGATTCAAGGGAGGCTTCTCCTGAAGCTTGGCCTGATACCTCCTGAATTTCTTCAACAAACTCAAAAGCATTCAGCTCCAGTAGTCTGGCCAGAGAAAGTGGCTCATCTACCAGTTTAGCATCAACGATCTGCTCAATTGTATCCCAGTGTCTTTGCTTCAGACAAGGGTTTCTCAAATCACTGATCACTGGCAGCTGTGAAGATGAAAGTTTTAGACCTTGAGTGATATAGATTCGGGTAAAGATTTGGTTGAATGACAGGAATAAGAAAAAGAACCAACCTTTTCTCGCATCCCTTCAACTTTTCCTTTAAGTATGGGAACCACGCTGTTCGGGGGTAGACCCTTTTCTAACTGGTTGACAAACTTTGCGTACTTTGTGACTTGAGAGCTTAATTGTTCGGGATCCAGTGCATCAAACTTACACTGAACAAAACATGAACAAAAAGGATCTCATTAGCTGCAGTAAATGCAAGAGAACCCACAAAAACATGACACCTTGTAATAAAAACAAGTGTTACATATCAGAATCCTACAGAAAGCAGAAATTGTGTTAAATATGCAATACACTCGCAAATGACTTCAAATGAATGAGTGAAGAGAAATGACCCCATAGAAATAAGCTTTAATGGCATTGTAGGTATATAACAAAATACAGCAATGCTATTCTGTGAGCATTACAATTACAGAATGTACATAACTCAAATAATGTTATAATTAATGATGCCATAGCACTAATTGAATGTACAGTGCCTATTTTTAGCTTCTGCTTTTTAAGCCTACCGCCAGCCATCCATCCTGAAGGGCATCCCACTCCTCAAGAGAATCCCAAAGCAGCTGCTTCAGCTTCAGCTCAGCGCTGAGCTCTTCCAAAGCATCATATTTGGTTACTTCCACCTAAAAGAGCCCACAATAATTAGGCTGGATTATCAAAGGCTGTCTTCTTTTCACATGGGATCAACCTGTTGCACTGTCGATAAACTATTTTTCTAGTAATTAGTTGTTAATAATCAATATATTTTACATGAAATATTTCTGTTAACTGTTTAAGAAGTAAGGATATACATTGATCATAATTACATTAAATCATTGGAAATTAATAATTTCATAAATCTAGTTTTATTTATATCTATATCTTAATTTTTCAGAGCTTATTGTGGTAATGTACTAATTGCACTGTAGACTACAGTAGTGTTGTATGGAAATAATCTGTGATGTCACACTCTATAAGATGTAACCTAATAATAATAAAAGATTTAATAAGTTAAATCTTCAAGTATTAGAAGCCTGTCTCTTTTGAAATAAATGCTTAGATGGATACAAAATAAAATAAAAAATTAGATTTCTCGGACATGTTGAAAAGATTGACAAATTATGTGAAAAGTCATATTTTAACTCAGATTTAATTTAGATTTTTAAAAATCATAAACATAAAATAGTTTATTTTCCATTATGCTCAAAATACAGTAGGTTTGTAAATATGCCTGCAGCATGCCAATGGCCCTCTCCCTTGCTTCTGGTGACATTCGAGGCATTATGGAATGCACAGAAAACTAAGTGAGGCCTTTTTCTTGCAGTGAGGTAAGCTTTGAATTAAGGCCTTTTTAAAGGTGACCTGATCAGGTCATTGTTCCACCTGGTCCTCGTTGGGTAAAAGTGCACCTAACGAGCTTTCAGGTGATTGGCAAGTTGCAATGCCTCACTGCACAAGCTTTATTGCTGGTCAGAGGGCTTAAAACAAATTGACAACTTTTTGTGAAAGTACATAAGCTATAACTATAGTTTTCATGTTCCAAAAAAAAAAAATGTTGCGTTTCTTTTGTCCATCAGTATATATTTCAAAGTCACTGCATTGAAGACCTGACTATCCATCAAACCATACTGAGTGAACAGGTGAGGAAGGTAAAATACAGTACACTCTTTGGAATGCAGTTTCAACAGCCTTACTGTATTTTGACACATTATTGCACCATTATTTATCACAGACAATGTGCCAACCACTAGTACTACAAGTACTACAGATATGTAATTTAATTAATTAGTTTTAATTTTTGATACTTTTAATATTTTACTTTACTTTTTACTTTTTCTGTACTACACTTACTACAGATATGTAAATATGGGAATTACACTTTTAATTTTTAGTCCATTTGGTAAAGTATTGTTGCACTTAAAGATAATTATCTGTGTTTTATTGTGAAATTTTATGTTTACTTATTTTTATTGTAAGTTCTGTATTTCAAGTTGGTTTTCAACCAATTACTTTTTTTTAAGTTCTGTATTTTGGTTTCTTATATTCTTAATTTGGGAGATTACTATGTTTTGTTTCTAATTTGTGAATTTTAGAACTATTTTTGACAAATGGAGTAAAGTCAGAAAAATAATACAATATATAAAAAATACCCTACCTTGAAATTTTTCTGGTATGACTTGTACTGGAATGCTTGCTTCTGCAGTTCATCAATGGTGGTTTGCATTTCGTCTAGTACCTGTTTGACCTTTGATCTTTCAGCAGAAATGTCCAGTATCTGGGGATTCTGACAAAAGCATCAAGAATGTATGTTAGGAAAGGCTGAAAACACTGACAACAGTGACAGAACTTGTTTCAAACTGATGATGTATAGAAGTAATTTGCTACAGAAAAAACTGATTGTCTTCTATCCCTAGAATTGGGAGTCATTTAACAGTCTAGTTAGCTAGAGTGATGAAGACATCAGCACCTCTTAGTCTACTACACCAAAAGTGAAACATCTAGACTGTGACTGTGACTGTGGAGTTCACAAAAGTAATTCAAGTAAGTCACTTGTTTTAAAAAATACAAGGTGATTAAATATAGTGAGACTTTTTTAACTTAAGAGCTTGACAATAACAAGTATTGAAATCAATGTACAGTATTTTACCATTGATGTTATCAATATCTTTGTAATCCCAAAGAGGATGAACAGCCATTTGTTTAAAAGCAGACTCCGTTCTGTAGACAACAGACTCCAATGCATTTTTCTACATTGAAGTTAATCGGAATGTACAGTACCCTCTAAAAGTATTGAAACACTAAAGATAAAATTAAGATTTCATTATTAAAATTATTTAAATTCCACTAATTATTTTCCCATTAAAAATAGGAGTGATAAGTACCACTCTTGAATATTTTATTTTTTTGAGTCAAATGAACAAAGTGATAGTGTTGAAATTCTTTATTTTGAAGTATTGGAAAAAGTCCTTTGTCTCTTTTTGACCAGATGTATTGGCTAATTAGGCATTCTTAAAAAGAGCTGTAAACATCACCCTGTCTTGGTTTGATGTCTGTGTTTGGAATCCATGGTCAAAAGACAAAATGAGAACCAGACAACTTCCTATTAATCTAATGATCACATACATTAATTGCTTGATTATAAACAAAAATAAAAATTTTGAGTTACTGTCCCAATACTTTTGGTGGGCACCATATATATTGTAGATTCAGACATTTCAAATAAAATACACAAAATAGATTTTAACAAAAGTCTCTCAAGATAACAGACTTTAAAATTAAACCACCTATCTTTCATTTAGTAATTTGAAAAGCTAACCAAAAGCTCTTTTTAAGTTAATACCTGAGCTTGTTCCTTTAGTTTCTTTACTTCCTTGTTCAGCTCCAAGATGTCTTTGTCAAGATGTTGACAGAATTTGTCAACATTGGCATCCCTCTCACCTGCTGCCTTGTCTATAACATTCTGGACAGCAGTGATGGAGGGCTTCAGAGTTGCAAACACAGCAAAATCCTCAGGAGGTGTGGGAACACTATACTGATCGATGAGCTTGTACATTTGTACAACAATTTCAGCTTCTTCATCAAGGGATTCAATCTGTAATCAGAAATGTATATACTGTATTAACTGATCAGTAGATGCCAGTTGACATTTTTCTCAGACATTGAGAACACATTGAAAACACTTTTGTTATGTTAAGGCAGGGTGCATAGCTCAAGGTTTGATAGACTAGAGTTTCTTCATGTTTTGATTCCGCCACTGTAATTCAAATAGTAATTGGCTTAACAGGACTCGTTTCACAGCTCTTCGTTATTCTTAAGATGTAGATGATATAACGCAAGACTAGTGTTGTGCTCCACTTTTTGATGGTGTCAGCATTGTTAATGCTTCTAGTGAAAATGGTCAATCCTGGATCTGCATTTCTCTGTGATAAAAAATCAGGAATACCACTACAGGACAAAATTAAAGATAAAAAGACATCTGTCCTTACCCGATCCTGTATCTCATCTAGGAAAGTCAGGCTGTCAACATAATCTGTAGTAGCAGTGGGGACAAATTCCAATCTGAACTGAGCATCTTGAGCCTCTGCAATAATTGTATCCATCTTCTTCTTAGCAAGAAGTGGAAGCATGTCATTTATAGCCTGCAAAGGAAACATTGAAATTAATATATAATCTTTTGTGCACTTTTATGCCTTTCAGAACCTTAGAAAAAAATCTTTTAGAACACTCAAAAGTGAAGAGTAAATACTTTTTCATTTGTATAAATTACAAAATGTGATCTAAATCTGTCTCACACAATACAGTACTGCAGCTAAAAAATATTACACATATATATCACATCTTCTTCACATTACTTTGATGCTCTCATATTGATGCACTAGATTTATAATGTCCTGACTTTGTTTGTTATTTTGTTATTTTGATTTTGTCAGGAATTGTGACAAATTATGAATTAAAGAAAAGAATGGAAGGGTTGTGTGCGATTATAACATTATTACAGTATAACTAAAGCCATGTTTTAGTCTTTATATACACAGGATCAAGGTTCATCTTCTATCAGTTTCCTAAGCTTTTTTGGGAACCAGATATAAAACTGAAGCAGATGAAAAAAATAATTAGACCTATTTGATTCCACATAAATTAGATACATTTAAAAGATGTGTTGCGTATAATCTCATTCTTCATAAATGTGCAAAATACTATTTAATATAATGTATTGTATATATGCTTCAGTTGTTTATATTGAAAGTTGAAATCAAAGTTTAAACAAAGAACTCTGACAGTTCTAATTCTGGCTCTTGTACCACAACGGAAGCAGTGGCATGCTGAAAACTCCCTCTGAAATTCCCTGCCTCCGGCCATCATAAAATAGAGATGTTATTTGTCGTTTGAACCATTTCAAATGGCCAGAATGTATGTATGTGATAGAGCACAACATATATAAATGTAAAATATGAGCAGAAAATTCCGTCTTTTTTTTCCTTCGTACTTGCCTCCAGGCAACGGAGAGGAGATGGAATGAGTTTGCCCTTGAGCTTTGTTGAGTCAATCACAAGCAGACCCAGATGTCTCTCCTGCTTTATAGCCAGCGCGTCTTGATGTTCTCTGTGATATTTCTCCAAATGCTCCGCAAAGAAAGACACACCTGTGTTGTTGGAAGAAATAATGATGTGGAATACATGAAGAGAAACATAGTAATCAAGTTACAATCTTCATGCACAAGTTTAGTTAGTAGTGCTTCTGGTATTTTTATATTCCCCACTTAAAATCTTGATTTGAATTTTGGATATATTTAAACTTATAAATCTAAACTCCATAGTTTTTATTCATTATTATATTGTCTGTAAATGTGTTTCCTTGTTAGAGTAACTTTAAGCTATATCTTATCTTAGGCTCTTTTTACTTTGTATATATTGTAATGATTATTCTACTGTACAAGTATATAAGTATCTGTAGACCCCAACTCACAGGATGTAAATTCAGATACACCTTTATTCTTTGGAGCTTCATTCAATGGTAAACAAAACTGTTGTATGATTAAACAAAATTGTACAATTATTCTACCAAAGGCTGAAAAGGATAGAAATATATAAGAGTATTCAAAACGGCAGTATTTAGATATGTTTTCAGTCTTTTCTAGCCATAGCACCTGATAAAGCAATTAACTGAAGCATCTTGTGAAGTTAGTTTCAGAAGATATAAAAAGCTAGGCAAGTAGCACATTAGTTACAGTGATATTACAAACTATATTTTAAAATGAGGCCTGGTTTCAATAGAAATTAACACAGCTGTTTTACTGGATGTACTGTACCATGATCTTGTTGTTTCAGTGCCTCCAGGTCAAGGCTTTCATTTACTTTGTAGAACAGACGGAAACGCTCAAAAGTTTCAGCATATACCTTAGCAGCATCAAATGCAAACTGGATGGCTTCCTAAGCAAAGGATATGGAAAAAAATGTGTTTAAACCATATAACTTTTTTATCATTTTGAATCAATTTACCCAGAGTTTTATATGAAATGTTTGACAAATTTTCACAACAGCACCTTTATATCTTGGATTATGGTCTGTAGGTGCTTGTCATCTTCAAACATTGTTTCCAGGCTAGGCCCATCTCCACATGTCTTCTCTTCAACTTTGTTGTTTATCATTGGTTGAGTAAAAGCATCAAAGTAAGAGTCGGGTACAAGATTATCAAGTGACAAAACTGTTTCTTGAAACTGATTAATTATTTCGGAAACACAGTTCTGTAAAGGGAAAAAAAAGTATTGAAATACATTTTGCAGTCTTATACAACTTCTTACACATTGTAAACAAGCAATTTATACCACAAGTCAAATATAAATGTACAAAATAAATTAATTTGATACAACTAAACTCCACCCAAAAAAATCTCTAATTTTTCCAGAAGACAGAAACTACCACCCTACTATCATGACAGAAATGAAAGATGTGAAGTGCACATTATGGAAGCTTTCCAGAAAGCAAAAACACGAATTCCATAACCCACGTGCTCTACTATAGCTAACTTTTTTTCATATAATGTGATATTCTTTTATTTGCCTCTTAAAGGTGGGGGACTGATTTCAGAGAAAATCAATTAAAAATGATTTACCATTGCTGTTTTTGAAATAAATCTTGAAATAAAGGAACCTTTTGGAATCAATGCTGATTTACACAAATATTCAAAACAATTCAGGGTCATAGGGAACTGTAGCCTATCCCAGCAAGGAATAGGCGCAAGGTGGGATACACCCTGAATTGGATGCTAGTCCATCGCAGTGCAAACACACAGCCACAGACACGCTCAAAGCAGGGCAGATTTTCCCAGAAGCCAATTAACCTACTAGTATGTCTATGGATTGTGGGAGAAAACCAGATCACTGTAAGCAAACCCACAAGAATATGGGGAGAACATACAAACTCTACGCAGATAGCACCCCAGGGCCCCAGTGCTGCGAGGCAGCAATGCTAACTACTGTGCCACCATGACGGCCTGTTTAATACTTAACTTTTAAAAATAAAAAAATTGAAATGAGCTGTGCAGTAACATCTCCAGTAGAGCAATAGCCACACTTACCTGAAAGTCATCGACTGACGGTTCAAAGAACAAGGCCTGTGTCTCCAGTATGAGTTCAGAAACAAACATTGGTTTGATAGTCCCTTCACTGTCCTGATCTACCTGATTCACCTAAAATATTTTAAAAGCAAAGTTCAGAAAAGAATCACTTAACAAACAATCAGAAATGAAAGCATCCCTTGTAGTCATTCCAAGAAGAATCCCACAATGACAGCTTTAACATAATGGCTGGGCAACTTGACTTTCACTTGACTTTTCACTCGTGTCCTCCTGTTTCATTACAGTATTTGCATTAGCTGAGCTTCCGGCATTGTATTCACTTCTCAGTACTTATTAGGGCATCATGGTCTCCTCTGATATGCAGTTAACACGTCTTTTGTGTGCAGGAGGAATTATGGAGCTTTTCTAGCCCAATCTGGTTAATTTGCTTGCTTGAGATAAAAAGATTTGAGAATCTTTTCAAATCACTAAATGAGAGAAACCAGGGTGTCAGCTTTAACAACATGGAGTAGATTCTACCAGACTCCCAAGACACATTGTTTAAAAAAGTGTCTCCTATTCTCACTTTTAAATGCACTTCACCATAGTTTCCACTTATGTCCTCTGGTTCATGATTCACTAGAAGTTCCACAGAATTTTATCAGATTCACTAGAAGATTCTCAAGTCGTTTACTCTATTGTTGATTTTGTCAATGCCTTGAAGTATTTTGAATTCTTGAATGTGGTCCTATCGTTGTCTTCTCTGTTCAATACTAAAAAGATTTACTTAGTTTAGACTGACAGATCACAAAATCCCTTTAATCCCCCAAATGTATCTGGTTACTCTTCTCCATACTGATTCCAGTATGTTACTGTAAAGGGATAACCAAACATGTAATAATCTAAATGAACTACTGTATTTATTCTTGGTTCCGCGTACAGTATTAGTATAACAGCTCTTGATTTAAATTCAAAATAGTTAAATTTGTATACAAAATATGTATGGCTTTTTTTGCTTTCTCACATTGTCAAGAAGATGAAAACGTGATGTGTCATATACAACATAAACACCCACGTCCTTTTCATAGGTAGTTTCTTGAAGTTCATGGTTTCAAATCTTATATATAACTTAAGTTTTTTACAACCTTCTTGATATTTCACCACATTAAATGTCACGTGGCTGTTGTTGCACAGTTATGAATTTTGTCCAGGTAATGTTTAATTTTCTGTGCAGTTCTCCAGTGTTGGTTTATTTACATTTTTTATATAAATTAGGAAAAGCAGCGGTACTTACACAGATCCCTGTGGTACTCCAGTAATCACCCCAAATTGTACATTTATCTATTGTCTGCACTGTTTAGTTAAGTAATTATATCTAAATCTCATATCTTCTTCAAGTTATACAATTTAGCACTATACCTTTTTATCTGCATCTTCCACTTTCTCTTGTGGTAGAATAACCCAGCTGTCAATGACTTCTGAAGAGGGGGTCTGTTGAATTTGTTTTTTCAGGTAGTTCAGCAGAGTTGTGACAGAATTCACTGCCAAGATGTGCATTGTGTTGACAATGAGGTAATCAGCAAGCCTGATGAAGCTATGAGACAAAAAAGAGTCATTTCAGTACTTTGAGATAAGTTTTAATTACAACTGTATATTGAGAAACTATTGTATATATTGCAAAAGTCATGCTTATTTAGAAATAAAAATTGACAAAGACACCATGGATTCAATTTATAGTGTAGTTGTAGAACTGTTTATCATATAATTATTCCATAATTAATTGCTTGGAAAACAACACCAGCATAGCTACATTTGGTTCCAGGTGTGTGCATTGGAGCCATGTATTTGAAAAAAATGTTATTCCCCAATTTATCAAGTATAATCAATATATTTAAAACCATTCTGACTTCTTTCAGTTCAATATTGAACATAATGTTTGGGGTACCAGTACTTCTCTCTAGAATGTAAAACTTTTAAATTTCTTACAGAAATTAAATGTTTGTTCATTTAATTCTCTCATGCCTCTACAGATATACTAAAAAATGGAATTTTATTTACACTAAGACTGAATTTAAATACAAACCAGGTTAGCCTTTTGCAATGGGATCTTTTATTAGCCTGTTCAGTGTAGGTCATCTTCTCTGGTGACTCCTCATACATCATCTCCAGATCAGCCTGAGACTGCGGTATAAAGCCAGCATCTTCTATTTCTTGTCCTTCTCCTGTACTCATTTAAACACAACAGTGTAATTGAAATGCATACAGTTATTCCCTACCTGTAAGACTGCTGAAGAATGCCTTAGAATGATGGCTTTAACAGGACAGATCCAGAGCTTAATAGAATACTGATGTGACACATGAAGAGGGCTGGGGTGTACTTGAGATATTTAATGTTTAAAGTCTGCTTGAATGGGGCTCTTCATCAGCCAGGATACGGATGCCTGCTGTAGACATTGCAATAATTGTACCTGCATTGAAGGAATAATCAGGAGTATATCCAGCTTCAAGCAAAGCTGTGCGGCATGCACTCCGAGCTACTTCTTTCACCAGTTCCCTGAACTCTCGCAGACAGGCAGCAACCTGCACACAGCGGACAAGAGTCGCATTGGTTAGAAAAATTAGAAATTAGAAACACAGAAGAAAAGTGAGTGACGACCAGCAAAACCCAAAACAGAAAACATGCAGTCAGTATACAGTACTTAGCACTATTTACACCCTGCTTCCATATTCTGACTTTGAAACATATTATCATAGACAATGAGGTTAATTCCTGTTTCCAGAAGGCTTAACAGCAAAAACGCTATTTCTTCCTACCTTTACTTTTAGAATAACATTTTATTTGTCCTTAAGAGTATAGTATCATAGAGGGAGTATAGTCCTTATCCAGATAAGTTTAGAAAATAATAGTTAAGTAGAACAAAATAGATAATAATTGTAGAAATAAAAATTATGTTGAAGTACATTTATTTGGACCCATTTTGTGAAAAGAAAACACATAATAAAGCTTAGAAAGTTGGATGAATACACTTTTTGAAGTACTCAAAGCCTTGGAGCACCTTACCTCCTCTAGCTGATTAAACTGGGCTGTTCTGAAGTCTTCCAGTGTGTAAGTGTTGTCCTTCTCAATGTGGCACAATCCCATGTCACTGATGCGGTAACACATTTCACGGATATTGATCAGTGCAGGCCGCAAAGACTGTGAGCAAAAGAGGAACAAGATGCTCATCAGAGTCATTTTAAATGAACAGTCATGATTTGAACATGTACAGTATGTGTAGATAAATAAAACATTCCCAGACCTTTTTTAAATATGCCATTTGCACATTCAAGTGGACAAAATGGTTTGTTCCAACAGAAGAAAAGAATTCCAAAAAAATCATTTAAAACTAAACAGAACGGTAGATTTACTAGTTTTATACTGTACCTCACTTAGCCCCATGAAATTTCTACCTCTTGAAATTCAGAACAATTCAGACAGCATAAAAGTTGAAATTGTTTGACAGAAATCCCAGAATATGTGCAGCTACAGTACAGTATGACTGTAAAGGGAAGATGTTTTATTGCAAAAACAGCAAAATGACAATAAAATGCCTATGGTATTCTTACAAAACAAACATTTCTGGAAATTCGTTCCTAATTATACTGCAATGGGATTTTCAGGTTTCCCCTTAATTTTGACCACAAATGATTACACACATTTTAGCACCCAACAAAGAGATAAATTGTAAAGCATCAACACTAACCTCATTAACAATGAAAAGGTGCTCTTGAAGGGCTCTTTTACATTCATTGATTTTCTTGGATCGCACATTTGTCCTCCACACTTTGAAGGCTTTCCACTTGCGAAACAGCACAAATGCAGGAATCTGCAAAAGCTGCCTGTGTAACATGTACTCCTTTTCCCAGCGGTCCAAAGCCAGGAAATCCACTTCCCCATTCACAATGTGAGTGACTCCTTGCTGGCTGATGGTGTAGTAGTCATTTTTGTTGATGTTTTCATAACTGACGATCCTTGGCAGAAAAAAAGAAAAACACAAATCAGTCACACTTCAAAATAAGTGATTAATCCATGCTGCATGAGAGAAATGATAAGAGTTAATGTGGAATATGCTGTGAACACTATCTAACACTAAGGTGTCATGTTATGCATTAAATATGTACAGGGAAATGTATTACAACAAATCACATATAATTAGCTATGATGTGGGCATTTAATATAGAATGTTACCAAAAAACCTTTTCACATTTGCAATTAAGAGACCTAATCTATAGAGAACACTGATAAGTCTAACAGGTCAGAGAAACACAATGCTTCAGACCGCTTTTAAAAAAAGAGAGACCTGCAAAATGTTATGAAAAAAATAAAGGTTAGGCTTACTTCAGATTGTATGTATCATATTTGATTGAAGATTTAGGAACCGCTGAAGTCATATACAGGAACCCCAGAGAGGGGTTATTCCGAATGATTCGGACAATGTCCATGGGGTTCTGAACCTTAGCTCTGATGACCTCCTCTGCTGACTTGAACACTAAGGGAGATGGGGAGCTGGGTTTGGAGCGGGTAGCAGATGTGCCCATGGAGACCCTTGGCTTTTTTGGTGGAATGGGAGAGCATGTCCTACTCTGGGTCAGCTGCATCTGCAACATAGCAGTTAAGGATGTATTTTGCAAAATAAAATATAGCATCTTTAAACAGCTCCAAGGCCAAAAGATTAGAAACAATGTAGGGTCAGGGAAAACTACTATTAGAAGAATTACTTATGGAATACTGAATAATAATTTTCTTACATAAATGCCATGTTCTGATTTAAAATGTCACTTATTCTGATTTACTGCGCTTAACATATTAAGGACTTCTGACTTGCTACAATAACAAGTGTCATATTATGGGAAGAAACTACAGTAAGTCATTGTAAGGACAGTCTACATCAACATTTACACTGCATTGCTGTAATCAACATTAAAGCATTCTCTTGTAATTAACGTGAAAGCTCTAGAAAGAATATCTAAAATCAAGTTTATCACAATGTCTTTCCAAAACGTGTCTTACTTTTAAATCATCCCGAATGTCAGGCAAATGAACTAATGGCGTTAATTTCTCTGTAGATGTTGGCTGAGGTTTAGCTTCTGCGCCAAAAGATGGTTGCCACCCAGAGTTCATTAACCACTCCCTGTTTTTCTTGTGAATGTACTCAGGTTGTTTTTGGTCTTGGTATGTTTTCAGCACAGGCTAAAATGGGAAGAGAGCATGCCTTTAAAACTCAGTCACATAGATGTTAAATATGACGGACATTTTTGTTTCATTTTCTTTGCTGCTTTCCAGAAATAGCTGAACTGTCTAGGCTGGTCAAGGTGTAGTTAGAGCAGTTTAAATGCAGTTCAGTTACACTTCAGTGACACTCTCATGTTGTTTTTTTTCTCAATGTAATGCCAAATTCTGTTTTACATGGAACGCGGGAAGAATCATTTGAGAAATTTCAGCAGCAAATTCGTCTCAGATTTTAAAAATGTAGCCAAACAGATCCTCACAAACTTAGGAATGTGTAGCTTCATTATTTTTAACCTTTTTTTTTTGTTAAAAAAACTGATTTTCCATAATAACTTTTGTATGTCCATTTAAAGCAAAATGGTCATAAAGAAAAGAGAGAAAAGAAGATCAAGGGCTTACTGCTCATCCTCATAAATTAGAGAGTTGCGAGACTTGAACTTTGTGAAGTTCAGTTCCTTCACCAGATTGGGTGCTTTTTGTATTGTTACAGAATAATGTTTTTAGCTCTTTAAGGTGCCTTGTTCCTGAAGGCAGCAACTATGCAGCGTAGGCCTTTTTACTGAGGACGAAATGTCTGTCAAAGTGGAGGTACACAAACAACTCAAGGATTACTAGGTAATCACCATACTATGTACCTGTGACTACTGACTGCTGACTTACTGTTGTTCCCCTTCAGGGAAAGACTGAGCAGACTTCTTCCACCCTCAGGTCATTCCTGGTCTCTCCTCTAGTACAATATTCCCACTATTAACTACCAGGCAATGAAGTATTCATTCAACTCAATCCATGACTGCCTGATTTTTCTTACTCTTCTTACATCGTTATGCATAGGAATACTCATATAAATTATTATTTACTCTGTGGCACTCAGCTCTATTAAGTAATCAGGCACAAAGTCTTGATTCCACTTTCTCATCTGTGGAAAGTAGATGTGCTGCTACTTGGCAATACCTCCTGCCAGTCTTGGCCCAGTATTCAAGTCTGTTCCTCAGCAGTTTTTCATCCCCATTAGGCCTGGCAAATGAGCTACAAATCCCATCTGTCTAGGACCTACAGTATAAAAGCCCTCAATACAGCCATCACTGTATCTCCCTGAAGCTACCCTGTGGCTCACTGAGTCCCTCAGGCCTGTTAGCTATCCCAGTCTTTTCTGGCCTTACTGGCTGGAGCCCAGGCTGACTGAATCCCTTTATTCCCAAGTGGTTTTAGAAACCCTGTGATGTGCCATCTCTGGCGTGGCTAATCATTGGAAAGAGACTATTCCAACAGCTCCTCTCCCTCACAAAAAATTCCACACACTCCAAGTGCTAAGGACTGAATAATGCTAGCTGTGACTACAGCAGCTCTTAATTATAAAGCAGCCATCTTGGATTAAGACCAGACCACTGGGCCTATGTTTTGTGCCAGAATGGCTGGTTTCCTTACAGAGTCTCATACTATCTCTAATAAATTATTTGAACTAGATAATCATACCATTTTTTTCATAAATGAATGTTTAATAAATTATAAATAATTATATTGAATAAAGAAAAATTATTTCAATAACAGCAAATAGCCCCAGACAGCATATGACTTACAGGGGAAAAGGAGGGAGCAGAGAAATGGGCAAAGAAACTGAGCATGTTAAATAGTGTTTATTTACACTAAAGAAAGCCAGACAACTGAAAGAAATCATGTTTTAATGAAAGAGAAAACATTTTGTAAAACAAATTAAATAGAAATACATAGTGATTTATGGTATATTTATAATAATTCTGATTCATTATGAAATAGCTAAGGTCAGCAGAACAACAGCAGGAAGCAAAGAGCAGAGAGACAGTAGCATTGCTTAGCCTAGGCGTGATGGAGTACAGATGCCAAAACTGACAGTTTTTATCATCCAAATGGCTTTTCAAAGAATTCAGGAAGAAAAGATTTAGTTACCCCATCCCAGAGACGATTATTTGTGTATTATTATATAGTATATATTGATGAAATTATATAATTATTATTTCAAGGCTCATACCTCGCTCATCAAGGCTTATACTTTGCTGACCTGTTTGCCAGAACATGTAATGGAATACCACTTAGAGAGAGTAAGTTAAAAGTAGTTGGCCTACACACCAAAGGCTCCAACTTAATGGGCTGCTGTCCTGCTCTTCTCCTGTCCTGTGACCTGGTGTTGTGTGGAAACTTCAAAGCCTGTGGATTCTGAAGGATCTGACTTGGCGCAATAGAGATGAGCCTGGTTTTTAGCGCACTGCTGTCAATCCCAGCCATAGGAAGTGCAATTTCTTTCCCAGGCTGCTTTGTAAAATTCTCTTCATTTCTGCTCGAACGCTGTGGGGGTCCTGATGAAAATGTGGACATCCTTCCAGAATGTTGTATTTCACTGTAAAATTCAAAAGGATATTGTTTAATGAAAGGTATCAAATGCAAAGTTATACAATCAGAAGAGATATTATGAAAGAGAATTCTGATGTGCAAACATCTTTTGACTCGTATTAAACAATTTGAAAAAGTTTATGAAAGCCTTCACTAATTTCTGAGACACAACTGTACAGTAAGTACTGTGCCTGCGAAGTTTTGCACTTGCTCTAGGAATGCCAAGGTAATGTACTGCATGCACATGGATCAAGAACTCTTGGGGAGTTCACAGACACAGCACAGAGGGAATTAGAAAAAGACAAAGTCATGGACATGGAAAATCTAATGTTGATAAGTGTATATTTTATACATATCCGTGGGAGACTGAAATGCAGGAAGCTACTTACAGAAGGTACTGTAAGTGTGTTTTCTCAAGACAATGTGGGGAAGCAATACAAAAGGCAAAATGAACAAACAGCAAAACGTTATAGAACTGAAATCATGGGAAATTATGCTCAGGATTAACAGTTTAATAGGAGGATCTCATTTAGGATATTGTGCTCTGTTTTGGTCAATGCACTACAAAAGAATATTATACCTTTAGAACAAGTTCAATGAAGAACAAATGTAGAATTGAAATCAAGGGATGTTAAAACCATACAATGCATTAATAAGGTACAGTACATTTCATTTAGAATACTATGTGAAATTATATTTGCTTCATTACAAAAAAAGATATGATAAAAACACATGCATTCTCGGGCTTAATAGATTTCCATCTATTGAAAAGTTGAAAGAATAGAATCTTTTTCATCTTGAAAAGACAGTACAATGAAGGGAGCCCAAGTAAAGGGCTTACAAAAAGTCAACCAAACACAAGTAGAAGTGTATTTAAAACTGGCACTTTTTTAAGTAAAGGTCCGGAATCTGGAACAAGATACCCAGTCTCCTTGCTGAAGCTGTTATTTAGAATATATCTCACAAAATGTAGGAACTTGTAGCCGACTACATAACCTAGTCATTTCAAGGGGGGCAAGGGCCTGCTCCCTGGAATAGGTTCTTTGTTTCCTCAGAATCAACAGTGCACTCGCAGATAAGCACAAGACAGCACTTTAATTTCTGTAACAGCTACTAAATATCATTATCCCCTCACAAAAAGAACACAATACAAAAAAATATCTACAAGGCACACACAAAGTCACAAAGACAAATTAACCTTACGGACCATAGTAACCAAGTACAAAAAAAGAAATCCAGCAGCGTTATTCTCCTGAAGCAGCTCCACACAGTAACCTGACATGCCTCTTTCTGATAGAGTGAAGAAAGGAATAAACCTCCATCTAGTCATTCAATTGAACTAAGCATCCTCTGCAGCTCTATATGTCTCATGCAGTATGGTCCATTATGCTCCCCCTATCCTGCCATTCCCTAAGAAATACTGTACAGTACAGGGTAGGGCAGAGGAAGACGATCCCTATAGAATCCCCCTCTGGTCTTCAAGTCCTCTCGTGTATCCAGTGGTGCAATCTGTGTCCCACACCGTTCCTCAGAACCCCCGGTTCGGACATTTTTACAACTCACTGTCTCAGGAAGGCTGGAAGTACCACTAAGGATACCAGTCATTCTGGTTTCTCATTGTTCTCCCCACTTCCCTCTGGTAAGCATTATAGGAGCATAAAGGCACGAACATCCAGATTCAGAGACAGTTTCTTCCCAAAAACTGTCAGATTACTGATCTGTACCCCTACCACTGGCTCCCACTGATGTTTTTTTTTTAAGTTGAATGTTACTTAACTTGCTGTTGCTGCTGCTGGTCTGTGTTTATGTTTTTTGGTGTTTTCTTAATTTCTCTGTATTGGAGCATACATGCAAATAAGCATTTAATTGCACTTCTGCATATGACAATAATCTGAACTGAACTAACTGAGAATTATAGAACCCCTTCCTGGCCAGAGCTAAAGGAATAGAATATAGGACAGGAGTGTTCTGGTGATCACAGGGGTAGGCTGCCCTAATGGATGCAGGCTAATTAATGAACTGACTGTATGCAGTTCGTCAGGTGCAATAAGAAGCTGAAATCTTGCATTGTTTTATCCTCTTTTGTTCCCTGTGCTTCCTCTTTGCCTCCCTGGTCCCAGCCTTGTCTAACCTGTTCTGCAATATCACATGTCATCACTGAACTGTGTCGTAATTAATGGGGCTCTAGACATGAATGTGCCATTCAATCTTTGTTGATTGGCACCTGCCACACTGTTTGCAGCAGGTAGGCCTGGAGACCATGATTAAAGGAAGGAAGCTGGCTCAAGGAAAAACAAGACATCAGCCCTGACATAGACACTGGCCATTACATAATTATGTCAATTTGTTATTCTTAAAATCAATATAGCCCCCAAAACCTGCTGCCCTACAGTCACTTTTGTCATTGATCCTGGGATCAATTATCTCCTGGAAATAAAACAAGATAGTCTGGCTAAAACATTTAACAGTAAGTCTTAGAATTAAGCAATTAGAAAGATTAGCCTATTAGCCTGCAACTGCATTTTGCCTGATCATTGAAATTTTTACCTGATTATTGGTATTGACTTTGGGACATTTGTCAACACCAGTGAATTCTTATTCTTTCAATACAAGTGAGGAGAATTCCTAGATTTCTCTCCATCTTAGTCATACTTGCAGCCAGTTCCCCTGTCCTGAGACCGCATGTCTCAGTGGAATCTGACTCACCATGACGCTGAACAGTACTGTTCCTTCTTCTTCAACCATCAGATCCACCAGATGAAAACTGGACAAACTTCGACACAGATATTCATTCACCTGGTCGTCTCCCGAAGCCACTTTTTAAAACTCATCAGAACTGCAGCTGGCTGAGTGTTCTCAGTTCGGATGAGCATACTTTAAATGTTTACTTTTTAACACTTGCTTTTATTCCAAACAAGCAAATGTTTGATAAACATTTAATTCCCGAAAGTACTTGAGTATTTACTTGTGTTTCATGCATTTATGAA